GGGTATTCAAACTCAGTTTTCTTCAACTGACGGTAATGGCTGAGCAAGTAATATAACAAACTTGTGAAGCAGCTAAAACAGTTGTTCGTGTTTTCCTTAAGCAGAGATACCTACATCATAAAAAGGAGCACACCTGCATGCAACTTTGACCTAACTGCAAAGATTTTTTTCCTAAATTATGCTACATTTTTGGTAAAATATGCTTCAGAGACAGTTTCTAGTAATCCAGACTCACTATGCAGCTGCAACAAGCATTGAAAGAGTCAGGTTCAAGGTAAACCTATCACTGATAAATGGTAGGTTTCAAGAGGTACTAGCAACAGCACTCCTGTCAAAAGTTACCCTAGAACTTTGGTGGCAAAAGAGAAATAAGTTTATTTCAAATAATATTTCCCTGAGACAAAGATTTGCCAAGTCACTGACTAGCAAACACAACCAGCTTCATTTTTATTTGACTTTTCCTTAATGTCCTGAAAAAACTGTAGAGTAGAGAAAGGAAGATGAATATACCCCTGCAGCTTATTGTTGCCGCTCTTGACATGAACAGGCTCCTACAAACTACTACATAACAGACACCCACAAGATCCAGAGATACAATTTTCCTCAAAAAGGAGTAACTGGAAGAAAAAAAAGAAAAAAAAAAGAAAAAGCACTTGAATCAAACTATCACACACCAGTAACTGAATTTGTTCTTAATTGGGTGCATCCATTCACCAGACAAGCCTGAGAGATTCAAACCTATGAAGCAGCTGCAGCCACCTTCCAGTCTGCTAATGCACTTTTTCAAAACTGCTTTTATTGCTCTACTCAGAAAAATGACTTTGTTTTCCAAATGTTTATGTGATAGCCAAAACAGTCTTCAGCCGTTACTCTGAGGATAAAAGCATGGTTCCACTTTCTTCTCCCACCTGTAAAAGCTGACATTTATGGGGAGAATTACCCAGCTTCGTTTTGACAAGGACATGCCCTTTTCACGTTCTTCAGGACCTTTCACCACTGGGGAACGTGTCACTGGTAGGCAGTAATCCAAAACCAGTTACATTCCTCAGAAACAAAACATGGAGCTGATTTAAGTAGGTCTCCAGTGATCAAAAGGCTGAGTTCAGGAAGTCAGGGAGAGGGAGGGAAATGGACTTGCAGCAGCCTCAGCCTGGAGGACACTACAGCCCCGTTATCTGATCATCCCATCACACACCCTTCTGGGTTGCACTTTGCAAACTTCATTCATCTGCAAACTAACTTTGAACACACACAGAGAGCCTCCATTTCAAAAATTTTGTGGGAATGGCATTTCAAGTCTAGATGAAATCAGTCAACAAAATAAATAAATAAATAAATGCCCAAATTAAACATTTCATTTCACTCATTTCACTGACTTGTAATTCACCTTTCTGCTGAGTTCCTGCTTATGCAAATTTATCTCCTTCCCATTTACGATGATCCTACAGATCTATATTACAGAGAAAACGTCATGTAGTTTTAAATTACAAAGCTTCTTTGCACAGGGCTGTGTAACAGAGAATAGTTTGACCAGTCTCTAAAGTGCCTGAAACATTTTAATTCCTGAAATATCAAGTGGCTAGTTATTTGATTAGGGAAAGTTACAGTCCCTGAAACATAATCAAACAGAATATGTTCATGGGGGTTCAAGTATATGTTTTGTTGATTTAATATACCACTCTTCACCAGCCAAAGGATCATCTTGTTTTTAAGGGGTTTTTGGGGGATGGGGCATGGTTTCAAAGAAATAATCCCAGAAACTTAAGGAAATGCAGCTGCACAAATATTTTTATATCAAATAAAATAACATTATGGAAAAGATGTAACAAATCCCCAATGCTATGAGCAGACATATGGCATCTTCAAACATTTTGGAAGGGATACAAAAGGCAGAGATGGAATAAGAGACTTACTTAATTCAATTTGCTGATAATAAATTGTATTTAGGTCGTGTTCAAAGGTATTAACTAAGGACTAACACTATCATTACTGAAATACATATCAATAGGAGAAAAAGCAGCATCCTTTGGAGTAAATGATATGCAAATGTCAGTCAAGTCACCAAAGAGAGGTCAAGGACTAGAAGGTAACAAAGCAGAGGGAAAACTATCTGCAATTCTATGATTTATGATTTTAGTCTCTCCCCCCTTGCGGCAATCAAATCTGTTTTAAAAGCCCATTAAAATACACAGATATTAAAAAAAGATAAAACAGCTTCTAAACACAACACACTTTTGAAATCCCACTTCATTTTACTCCTTTGCAACTGTGGAATCTATGCACAGTGTATCTAAGGAAGATATCCACCTGATTACATAATTCTCTTTGTGGATTATCTCAAAGATGAGCACTGGAACTCTTAAAAAAATATAAACATGAACTGCATGGAGGAGTAACAGACCTGAAAATTTACTTTTAGTATTAAACTGAATCTGAAGACAAGTCTACAACATCCATTGAACAGTGAAGGAATTTCATCTAACTGAAGGTGTTACTAAATGAGGTGATGGAAGAGAAGTGATAAATTCCCTATCATGTTATGAAACAAACTGGTGCAGACAAGAGCTGCCTTTTCCAGCGAGAGTTAACAGCTACAGTGCAAAACATGTTGCTGTTCCCTATGTTTCGCAAAAGGGTTTTGGTTAAAATTTCAGCATCAAAGCATATAAACAAGTACTCTGAACGATCTTCTGTACTTCATGGAAAGTAGAAACCAAACAAAGGCAATTTTCCCCTGTAAACACACAAAAATTAAACTATAACATAAGGATTTCTAAAACAGCCATTGTGGATGACTACATGTATACAAATGTAAATGCTGTGCTGCTCAGCCCAGGTGTACTGAGAAGTTAATCAAAACAGTTTGCTGATTTGCAGCAATCCGCTGTGAATGCAGCTACAGCTCATAATGACAAGAGCATTACAGCTACAGTGCAGAGCTTTTTAATTTAATGCAAATTTATTCCACCAGCCTTCAACTCTTTCCTTGTTCCTCACCTCTTCTGTGCTATTTAAAGTGGTTCGGTGCTTTTGCATTGTCACATCACTACCTTTTTTACCAAAATACTAACCTTTTCTGTCAAAATTCTTTGTCTATGATCTCCTGGTATACAATTAAAACTGTATGCCATTATACCTACAAATCTTATTTCCAAATATAGAGTCTGTTTTTTTTCTTGCCCTTACAGCATTCTTGGTGGTTATTTTCTGACACTAGCTCTCGATACAAGGGCTCGTGAGATCCATTTTGAGATGGCTTAAGAATTTAATGCTACATTATTGTTAATTGGTGTACGTTTAAATGCTTTTAAAAATAATTCTTTTTTTTTTGGTCTCGAGTGTTGGCAGAAGCTCTTAAAAAAATTTGTGGTGATATCAATATTTTGCATTCAGGCCCTGTCACACTCTCTATCATAATCACATGAAGATGACTTGAGATAGGGGTGACAAACACGTTTAGCAACTGTGTCCCAGTTCATTGATGCCACAGTGCACCAACCACTGAAGTCCACCTCAGGTTTCTGGGTTCTGATGAAAAGTTGTGGAAGACACAGAAACACTACAAGCATTTCAAAGATTACTTCAAGTTACATTCCAAACCAAAAGACCATGGAATAACCACAGAGCATTAAAACTCATTTTAAGAATCAACGAGAAGTGTGATAAATGAAACAACAGCATTAGATAAAAATCAAAATCTCATAAACATTAATGCCCACTTAAAATTACACCTCCGAGATACAAGATATAATGTTTGGAAGTAACCAATCAGCACCTGATTTAAACAGGTTATACATTTACTGGACAAGCATACTTCCAGCTACCCAGACACTGATTACTTTTATCACTAAAAGTGGTTAACAAGGAAACAGCATGGTCATAGATCTTAATCTTAATATGTATCTACTCTACTACAGGTGAAGCTTGAGATCCTTGTGGTCTAATTATGAAAGTCCTTGGGGTTTGTCTGGAATGTGAGAAACACTAGGAAAAGGGCTCACGTAAATTCACAAATTTATAGTTTATTTCCTTTACCTCATGTGAGAATTATGAAAACCTAGCCCTTCTTCTGAAGTTATACACAGACAGTGGTGCTTAACTTATCTAAAAGATAGGAGCCTCATCAGAGCTAGATAGCAACATGATTCATTTAGTCAGCAGAGATCAGTGTTTTCCGAGTGACTCACCCAGGTCTGTGCTAGCTCTTCAACATGTCACCAGATGAATTGCTACACATTACAAAGGAGGCCTATCAAAGCAACTTAAAAATAGATACCTAATTCTGAATTGTGAGGCTTCCTCTCATACTTTAGTACCCCAAAACTGATATTTTTTGACCTACACTTGGCCCTCCATATGAATGCCTAAAACACTTAAATGCACACTCTCTTCCTCTAAAGGAAAAGTAGAGTTTAAAGGGTATACAGGAAGAGATAAGCATTACAAGGTGATGTGAAGATACTTGACTGCACCTTCCGCTGGCCAAATACTTAAAACTAGAGAGATAATTTGTGGGTCAGCTCTTTTAGAGAAAAAAAAAATTCATTTTGTGTTTCTGAATCTGCCATCCTTCTTTCTAGTGTTTATTTGTGCAAGAAAAATTCCAAACGTACCAAAATCCTGGCTATCCTGCCTCCTATTACACATTACAGTTTGCATGGTTATCTGGAGAGGAAAAAACATCTATAAACTGAAATTAAGTATACAAAATCTAACAAACATTAAGCAATCATAACTGCATGGAAGCATAAAAGTAGTGAGAACGCACAAAACCATCTGAATTTCTACAGTGATATGATACATCTTCTGACTCTTTTTCCACTTCCCTACCTCTGTATAAATAATAATTAACCGTGTAATTCCTTCATTGCTTTTAAGTCGCTGCCTCAGAGGCAGCTCACACTTATTTTTATCTTCGAATAACATCAAAGCAAGCGGCTGGCTACCAAAGAGTGGTGAGGGGAAAAGAAAAAAAAAAACCAACAAAAAAAAGGACTTACTTGCCACCTCCAGCGATGCATTATGACTTACAGCTTCCCCGAGGTAATTCCTTGCCACACACACATAGACCCCTTCATCCGGCCGGCTCTTGCGCCCGTGGACGATGCGCAGGAAGAACAAAGAGCCGCTGGGCAGCAGCATGCGGTGGGAGCGCGGGTCATCCTTGTCTGTCTCCACTCTCTCGCCCCCCTTGTACCACTCGATGGTGGGGGTCGGCCTGCCCTCTGCTTTGCAGTTTAAAGTGGCCGGTTCTCCTTTGGAAACGATGAGATCGGAAGGATGTTCGACGATTCGAGGCGGGAAATCCTCTTGTCGAAGACGGGAACCTGCGAGGCAAACAAACAGACAAATAAGCAGAGTTTTCTCAGGAAATTGCTGCCAGCTACAGTCACGGTACTTTTGCAAGACAACTAAACCATCACCTCGTAGAGCAGCATTTTTTAAGACGAGTTATTAACATCCTGAAGTGAACAGAAGAAAACCTTGATGCACTTCATCACGCGCAAGGTTCTCCCAAGTGAATATGTCCAAAAGCATTTTTCAACAGGGGACCTATACTAGTGAGGTTGATGCCTCAGAGTCCTTTGATTTTTTTGATTTTTCTAATTGTTATAAGTTTTATAAGTAGTTATGTAGAAAATGTAGGTTTTATAAGCAGCTGCATTTATTCCCTTACCCTTAGCACAGCAGACACACATTCCCCGACCCTCTCACCCCAATTCCCCATATCAATTCTCCTAAATTCCATTAGAATGTTTAGTCTCTCTCCAAGGTAAGCCTTCTTCTGTCTGAGAACATCTAATCCACAGCCTGAACTGCAGGGTACAGTCAAGAATTGGGTGACTGTGTGCCCTCTGTGCTCCAAGGAAGTTGAAGTGATGAAGAAAAGGGTCTCAAAAAGACCCCAGACCCAATTCCCAAGGTGTGGGGCAGGGGGTGGACTGGGGCAAAAGCCAGTGGGTGGAAAAACCTGGGATTGGACGGACAGTATTATAAATTGGAACACCTCAGACAGACAGTTTGTAACCCCTATGCCTTAGAGGCACGATTAAATCCTTTTTTTTACCTTACCCCCATACTAAGTTGCCTCGGGTTTTTTTTTTCCTCCCTGAGTTTTCTTTAGGCAACAAAGTAAACTGCCATATTCCTAAATCATATCAATTTATTTATTTATCTATTCATGTATACAGATTTACACAGCCATGCATATGCATATCTAGAATTACGAAAAACTAGTCCTACAGATACTGTACAGACATCAGACCACCTCGACCAGCAAAACTGGTACTGCTCTAATCCATAACCCAAAGCCATAGTCAACCTCATTCGACCTTTTGGAAAGTCCATTAATTCATGCAATGTCTACAGAGTAACTCTACCATTTCCAGCACCCGCAAAGTTGCTTTATTTTGCTTGTACTATTGTCTCTTTTTAGTCCCTTGTTAAGCAGTACCATAAGAGGTACAAATGTACAGAGTGTCTGAGTGTTGCTTATGCCTCAGGGTAAATCAGAGAAACATTTTACATTATAAAAATGTTATTGTCTCCAATCTAGAAAACTGATCCAATGTGAGATGAGGGTATCCAGGATAAAAGAAAAGTTACAAGTAAACAAGATACTCTTCTAAAAAAGCATTCCATTTCAAACTAATTCAAAATGCTACCTGATAAAAACTGGTATGCAAAAAACCCTATAATTGTCTGGATAGATATATACCACAGAAGTATATGACAAGCAATTCGGTGCCCAAGAATTCCAAATTGGGAATAAAGAGGTATCAAAATTTTAGAGTTTTAAAATGCTAAACTCAAATTCAAATTACTGTTTCCCTTATTTCTCTCTTTCTTGAAGCACAACTTTGCTATGGATACAATTAAGTCTCTTGGGTCACTAAATCCTGATTATTAAAATCTTGGATGCCAAGATTCTTTATTAACATTAATAACATGAGGTTTGAACAGCTGTGAAGCACCAAAAAGAAACGCAAGATCTATTCTTTGCAGGCTAATAGACCATAAATTGATATGGAAACAGGAAAAAGGGAGTCCCAGGGACTTCTGTTTTCAACATATGCTAAATATGTGCATGTAATACACACACACACGTTTCTAGATATATAAAATAAAAATATCCTCAAATGTACAAATTTTATTTTCTATTTTCTTCATCTCAAGATAATCAATGCAAATTAAATGTTACACTAATCAGCTAGCACTAACCACCCATTCACAAATCTCTGGTAGCAGGGCTTGACTACACTGAAATATGTTAGCATTTTGCACGCAGTAAAAGAAGATAGTTTATATACAATGATCAATAATGCTCCTGTAAAGCTAACTCAAACAGCAATAAACCTAATCTTTAGGAAACATATGTAGTACTGTATTGCAAGATTTTTTTGGTACCTAAAGCAAACAAGTAATTACATTTTACAATTACTTTTACCTCCAACATGCCTGAGACATGGAAACCAAGATATGGGTAGATGGAACAGAAGCCAGGAAGATCATGAACCCTTTTGCTGGCTACACAGCACTGCACAACACAACCCTGCACATCACTCTAAAGCCAGATTTTGAGCTGGACCTCCAAGAGGTCCAGGCACAGGCCAAACCCAGTGAAAGAAGAAAAGGAAATGGTGTAAATCAGCACCGGTCTGTTGCAGTATCTAAAGAAACCTCTGATATACTTCCATGTGCCCTGAGAACACATCCAAGCCACTGCAAATTGCATTTGTGTCTACTCATCCTGAACTCTCACACAGCTTTTGTGAAAAGCCCTTCATTCAATATTTCTGCCCTCACAACTGGGCTGACCAATTTTAGATCTCTTTCCAAGGTAAAAATGCCTTGACAGGGATTAAAAAGTTTATTTTGTTTATATTTTTACTCACTTCCTATGTACCTCGCAAGGAAAGGCACAGAAAGAAAGGATTACAGAGCTAAAAAATCAATCCCTCTAAGTCACTCTGCAAATATGAAAAGCCAATTTCAATGTAAGATGTTTAAAGGCAGTTAAGAACTGTTTTAAAAAAAACCAAAGTTTTCACATATGCTAGTATGTATGGTGTTTGCATTTTCACAGATAATGCTGGCCAACCAGCACACAGCACAGTACAAACCTCCTATTGTTTCTGTCAGCCTGGTCCAGACCACAAATAAATGAAATGCCATTTTCAGATGTATTGTATGCACGTTTTCCACACTGACATTTAAGTGGCTTTACACTAACTTCAAGTACTGTACAGACTGAAAGTATAAAGACTGACCTCTAATCTTTGTTGAAAACTGAGACTCAAAACCATAAAGGGGCGAGGGGGGTGGAGAAATTCCATCAGGATGGTCCAGGAATGCTCATATACATTTTATCTTTGCTGGCTAACATTGGAGGAGATAAATAACAGAAAGGTACATTACTTTTTTTTTAATCCTAGCATTTTATAAAGTACCATTTCTCTAGCTAATTACATAAAACTGCTTAAAGCAGAAAGGGACAAAAGTTGTATGATTAGTTGACTGGCACCTAGACAGCATTAAACACAGATTTACTGACAACTGCCTGAAGGGTATAATGGCCTTGACAACCAAGTTATAATCTTTCTACACATCTACACTTTTTTCTTTTTTTTTTAACCTTTCTTTTCTTTTAGCTAGTTATTTAAGCTGCATTTTCATTTTATTGAGAAGAAGCAGCTTCAATTATCAACATAAATCTTAGAGTGGGCACCAATCCTGTAATTTTCCTGTCAAAAATCCTTCTCAAGAGGATATTTGATAAAAAAAAATAGAAGCAGAACACCTATTACATGCTGGATCTGCCATTAAATATACAACAGAGCTGCTTTTCTGTCCCCTAAAGATGACAGCACCAGGTCAGAGGAACTAACCAACTTGTGTTCTTTGCCTTTATTATAATTCAAGTCTTTCATAAAAAGTCAATAGGATGCCACCAATTAAAGCATGCCATACTAATTATTTCATGCTGCTACTTTAAAGAACAATTATATGAAGTCATGTTTCCAGTTTCTTGGACTGTGCCACAACAATTTTTACAAGAATTCAGACACTGACACAAACAGATGTGCAGGTTTAAAGAAAACTTACATTAGATGAATAACAAACTCATAGAGGCAAGATTTGCCCTTATTCCCTCCCCTAAAACTTCCTGTTGGTAGCACATACAAACACAACTTACTGAAAAACAGTAGGGAATGAGTTCATGCAAAAGCTACTGATATTAAGGGTTCAAGCACTGTGCACCCCTTGTGTACAAACACTTTCTCCTTTAGGGGGAAAAACAAAAAAGTTGTGTGCTATTGGAACAAACTGCCTCAAATTTGATCCATGCAGCCTAAGGCAGTCAAAAATCAAAACCATATCTACAGTCGATCTAAACCTGAGCTCAGATGGATATGGAAAACCTCATTTCTCAAGATCTATATATCTAAATTGTAATTTATCACAATGCTTATAAAATACTCCATGACAGACTGTGTTTTTAGCCAAATTCCAAAGAGCCAGTACACTCCTGGCTCCATTTCTTTCCCATTTCACAGATATAGCATTTAACACCGACTTTTTAACACAAGATCCCTCCTTTTTTTTTTTTTCCCTCTTAGTATTGAAAGGTTATGTAAGATCTGAGTAACTGGCTTAATTACTGCCAAAGTTATTAGTAAAAACGTTAACAAACAAAACCACAGGTTCAGAAGCAGCGTTCGGTGATCCTTGCAAACAACAGTACATAAGAACTTTCCCAATTCCCCAGCGTTTCCACCGTTAACTGGTTTCAGAAACTTTCCAGCAAGTGGGGAGAAATATTTTTGCATTTGAGTATGTTGACTGGAAAGATGTCCTATAACTCTCTTCCCACAGTGGTTAGAAATCTTCTTCTAATCCTCAGGTTAAATGTACCCTAAATCATAAACACCTCATTCTTTCTGGCTTCAATTGCCCTGCAGTTCAGATCTCTTCAAACACGTCTTGGAATTTTATCCTTTTGACATGCAGATTGCAACCTTTTCCTTTTTTACCATCCTCTTGGATTCTGTGTTCTTGCTGCTGTTAGAAGTCAACAAACCAATTTCATCTGGTTTTCTCCCCTGTAAGATTCGCTCACCTTTTCCTTGTTTTAAATTCTACTTTGAGTTTATCCTTTTTGAACATGGAAACCCAAGCAGACTTTCAATACTATTTCAAGCACACGCTACAAAATAATATCACATTATGCTGCAGGGGAAAAATAATTAAAGGAAAAATCAAAGTATTTTTCTGAAAGTGGCTTTTCTGCTTCAATACCTGCAGCTAACCTAACCTACTGGGTTTG